TGTTGCTTGGATGCATTTTGGTGCTTAGCAACAGTTGGAAAGTAGTACCCTGGGGCTCCAGGCAGTAGAAGGAAACTTGTAGGAATGGAGATAAATGGAAGAAGATGAAGAAGTTACTGTAAAACATTCAAGAAAGTGAACATACTGTTAAATTATTGGACACTGGCACACCATCTCAAGACTTTGGTACAAACTAAAATTACAGTCAAAGACTAGAAGGCCTCTGGAAATGTGTCTCAAACTCAGATTATTTTGTTTTTTGGTCTGTTGTTCCTTTGATCAGAATGAAGTGGCCCTATTTATTTCTTTGTTAGTTTTAGTTTAGAGTCTATTTTATCAGATATTAGAATTGCAACACCTACTTTTTTCGTAGTACCATTTGCTTGGTATATTTTTTTCCACACTTTCACTTTAAGATAAGCCCCAGCTGTCCTGGAACTCTCTATGTAGACCAGGCTGACCTTGAACTCACAGAGATCCACCTGCCTCTGCCTCCAGAGTGCTGGGGTTAAAGGTGTGCACCACCACGCCCGGCTTGGATTTACTTTTTACTTTTTAAAGAAGATAAGAATTAAAAAAGAAGAGTAGGAAAACCTGAGTATTTCATCTAGTTAAGGCATAGAGAGGCCAGTGACTAGAAAATATCATTTATTGTTTTACTAAGAAAGTTGAACCTAGTCTGGCATTTCTGAGGAAAAAGTAAAACTCTTAGTGTGTTTCTTAGTCTGTGCTCTAAAGCTGTCGAGGGTGCAGTGGCTTAGAAAACCCATCTGTGTGGTGAAAGCCCATGGGTAAAAAAAGGTGTCAGGGAATAATAAGATAGAGCCTGGAAGTAGAGAAGAAAGGTCTCAATAGAGGGCTGTGGGTCCTGGAAGCCACTCCACCCATCTTCAGGTGCTGTGCTTAATGGTGGCTGGTTTAAGGGTTCCCTGAACTCCAGAATAAGGCACCATTGCGACCCAAGGTATACATTTTATTAGAAGTTCTAATATAGTAGCTCAGTCAGATAAATTCAATAAACTACAGCAAGACAATCCCACCTAGTAAGAAGTTGCTCAATATGTACCAACAGACACCAGCAAGAAAAGAACATATAAAGTAAATGACCTTTTCTAAACTAAAAGATTGTTTCTTCATATTTTTTGATGCAATCTAAGTATAAAGATGGAAAATGACATATGTGATCTGTGATGGGCACTAGTCAGAGCACAGGTGTACCAACTGCTGCTGACATCGCACTTACTTTCAGGCCACATGCATATGAAACAAAAGAATTTCCTATTCAGACTTGGATCCTTTCCCCAAGACCTCTCATATATGTGTAAAATCGGGAAAGTCACAAAACTGAGAAAGAAACACCTTTGTAAAGGGAGGTTCAACTCTGTGTACTGGATTCTTCCTAATATGTAGGTCTCATTAGGTCTTTGGGGATGCATATTGTAATTGCATTTCTCAGCTTGTCTGTTGTCTTTTAACTGAAGTTACTGTGTTTTTCCTTCTGTTGAAAGTGCCAGTTTGGGGCAATGTGTGCAGTAGTCACGTCACTTCCGGCTGCTAGTCATGCTTCCAAGGTCTGTCACACTGCAGTGAGGAAGTCTCCAGTCCTTCCCTTGGAATCATTTGTGCTTTTGGTTTTGACATTTAAACCTCATTTATTCAGGATTTGTTTTGGGGGACAGACTAACACAGGGCTTTGTCTCCCCCAGATGCTCCAGTGCTGTGCGTTCGTTAATAATCAGCCTTTCTACTAGTGATTTGAATGCTGCTTTTATTACTATCCTCATCAAGGATTTCCATTGCATTTCAAAATTTTCTTGATTCAGACTTTTATTTAGTTCATGTTTGGCTCACCCTTTCTAAATTTCAGGTGTGTGTCACCACAACTCCCTAATCTTTTCAGCTTCACAGTCTTGCACTAGGGTTTAGATCATTGGTGGAGCATGTGCTTAGCATGCACAGGGCATTTAGGTCAAATTATAACACCTACCCAATTAACTAAAGAGTGACAAATTATCTGATGTTGGTATATAAATGCTTACAATTTTGGTATCTTCATTTATACCCCAAAAGAATTTATGAAATTATTTAAAAATATGTGAGCTGAATTTTTAGGTTTCTAAATGTGTGATTTGAAATGACATTGACTCTTTGTTGGCTTTTGTGTCTTTTCAACTGTGTTACTTATTATTTCGGTAAAGTGTTCAAAAAGAGAGAAGACAGCAGATATCTTTGAATATTACCGATCCTATTAAGGAGGTACCTGCTCATTCCTGTTTAATTGAGGATCTGGGTGCTGACTTTGTATCACATTTTTAGTGATTGTTTCACTTTTAATCTATTAATGAGGTGAATTTTGTATTTAGACTTCTCAGTATTAAGTTTAACCAAACATTTGCTTATAGTGTTTGCTTTGGTATTTGAATTATGTTTATGTATTAATGTTCCTTAACAATTAATATTAGACAGTCTGTTCAAATGCTTGGGAATTGTGCCTGAGTTTTCTTTGGGACACTGGCTTTTACTCTTCTTGCTATTTTGTAAGGTTTTGTTATCTGTAATGCCAGGGCCCTATTTCCTTTATTGTGTGGTCTGAAGGAAAACCTGGTCATGAAGTGTGGGACAATTATCTCATAACTGTGTCCTTGGCTGCTGGTTTTCTAGGGAAGCTTTTTGCCAGACTCCTCTTTGTATTTTTAGAAACTGATTTTTTTAAGAGAGCAAGTGACCAAGTTTTGGTCACTTATGTCTTACTAGAAAACCATAGCATTTATCTTGTATTTTGTACAGATCTGAACAAGATGGCTGCTTAGGACTGTTGCAGTCTCCTTTTTGCTTGTGGCTGTTCCTGCAGATAGGCTCAATAGCATGACTCTGTTTTGGATCTTCACTGTCGATTAGATTAACCAGTGATAACAGCTCTTATTTTTTCCCAAGAAACAGCTACTGGGTTAGTATTTGTTATTCCTGCAAGTTTTGTTTTTCTAACTAGCACTGCGTTGGCATTTTCATCTAACTTAGATCTCTTTCACTGGTAGGTGGCTTTTTTGATTCAGTGGTGGTTATGAGAGTTTTTTAATTTTGTCGCTTTATCTGTTTTAACTTCATTATGACCAGTAAAGGCTTAAATCAGTTTTGGATATCTATTAAGGTCATCTTTGTGGCCATTTGCAGTTGGTCTCATGGACCTAGTGAAGATATTTTTTGAGTAGATGAGCCCAGATATTTTTTTTTGCCCAGATATTTTCATGTATTTCAGATGTTGTCTATGTGTGAACTCAGAGAAGTGAATTAAGGCCTCAGAATTCTCTGTTTTTGTCAGGGCTTCCTTTCTTTCTCCCGGGTTCTGCACTGTGACCATTCGTGGTGTTCTGCTGTCTTCTCTGGGCTCTGGGCCCAGCCCTATGCATTGCACTCCTGGGAGCTCATTTGCTTCTGAGGGGCTCTTCAACTTGTTTGCTTTGCGTCTCCTTGTCCTGTCCAGTGTACTTTCTGTCATTGCTGTTTCTTCTGTTTTGTGTTTCACTACATGTTGTGTTTTGTATGATAGTTTGGAAACTTCTTTTTGGTTCTAAGTCTTGCCTTTAAATAAATTTTAAGATAGTTTTTAATATCTTTTGACTGAGAATGTGGGAAATTAGAATGACTAGACTTCTCCCCACCCTCTTCCTCCTGAGTGCTCTGCTTGTCAGTGTCAGTGACATTCTGTTCTGCTCTCTAACCCTAGTTTCCATGTTTCTTCCAGTCTTAGCCCTTCAGTTAATTGTGTGTGTGACAGAAAAAGTAGGGAATTTCTAAAACTGGACCATCCCTAAACCAAAAAGCCACCATCTTCCCAGTACTGAAGACATAGCTGTGCTCCCTCCAGTAAAGGGACTAAAATTCACCTTCTGAATTAAGAAGGTCCTTCAGTGCTGAATCTTTCTATTTTCAAAATCACAACATCAAATTCTTATTTCTTGGCCTAGCCCTGTTATTCTCTTGTTTTATATGAGTGTTTCCCTGGAGAAGTCTGTGGCCAGTGTGATTTGTCTTGTAATATGATTTTGTTTTGTTTTTATTTTTGTTTTGAGGCAGGGTCTCATTATGTACCCCAGGCTAGCCTCATAATTGCTGTGGAGCCAGTGTAGTCCAGGGTGACCTTAAATTCAAAATCCTGCTGCCTCCTGAGTGGTGGGTGAGGTTACAGGAATGCATCACCAAGCCTGCTTCGTGGTCTGTTTTTATGTGGATTTGTAGAGGGCTCCTTGCAGACCACTAGTTTACTGGAAAGCAAAATGTTCAGTTTTAGAAATAAATGGAAATAGACGAGATTCGCTTGTAATACTTAGTTTTAAATAAAAGCTGTAATAAAGCTTTTAAAACCTAGCTAGAAGACAGATAGCCTAAGGCACACACGGCAGGTGTTGAGTGAGTGTGACCGGTGTGGTTGCTGGGACCTGCATGCTCTGTGGGCCAGGGCATGTTTGAAGTAGTTCAGGTGTTTATGTTTTTATTTTAAAATACCATGATCTGTAAGTCAGTGGACATTGTGTGTACATGTTTGCCTGACTGATGACAGGGTGCACCCATTTTCTTACATGGTAGCAGCCAGTCACAGCACTTCATATTCTCTAGTGTCATTTCCTGAGTTCTGAATGAAAGCATTGCAGGATGCTTTCATAGTTCTAAAGCCCACAATTGATGATTATAAAAATCTTGCTTTAAAATCTGCAGAATGAAAGGAGCAGTTGTTCCAGAGGCTAAAACTTTATGATATTTTGACCAAAATCTCTCCAGTGATTACATTTGGGACTATTTTGAACAATATTGTTGGAAATAAACAGAATAGAACTTAGGTTTAGAACACATGATAGTTGAGGGTTAAGGACTCAGGAGTCACTCCCCCCCCCATAAATACAAGTAATTGTAAGAGAAACCAGTGGTCTTCCTTTTCTTGCCTTTACTCCTTTTTAGTTGTTAGTACTAAGGACTTTCTAAACTTGTGTTTCCTCTGCGTTCAGGTATATGTCTCGAGTCCACGGTATGCATCCCAAAGAGACCACCCGTCAGCTGAGCTTAGCTGTGAAAGATGGTCTTATTGTCGAAACGCTAACAGTGGGCTGCAAGGGGTCAAAAGCTGGTATTGAACAAGAAGGATATTGGTTGCCAGGAGATGAGATTGTAAGTATAATTTTACTTGATGAATTCAGAGATTTGGACTTTGGTGTGTTTTTAAAAAGCATTATGGAGATATAACTATAGAGATTCGTATTGCTAGAAATTTAACACTTTTCATTTTAACATTTTTATTAACATTAAGGCTCTGTATTGATACTTTCCTTATGATTCTTTAGAAGATAACTTTTACAAAGAGCCTGCTTTTCTGTTTGTTATGTTGAGTCTGAAAAAACAAAAATAAATAATGTGCATATAATTCATGGCACTCCTGATGTTTCCTTCAGTTCATGTTAGTTAGATAACATTTCGATGCAGGACAACATGCTTACTGTGGAGACACGTGGAAGGGTGCCTTGCTTAGGAAAGCCGTCCACTCAGGTTGGAAGGCATCAAACCCCAAGCCACCCTTGAGGTGGGGTTTTGGTACAGAGCACAAGGTCCCAGATGTGGGAGTCCTGGCCGTAGTCTGCGTTGGTCAGTGACTACTGAAGGTTCTGGGCCTGGAACAGAAGCCAAGCCAGACAGACAGAAGTCGATTCTCTGCTTTGAGCCACTCTCAGCTGCGCTGCTCCGTTGAGGAGAGGTGTTTCCCTTTTCTTTCCGTACACAATTCAGTCTGAGAGGCAGAGACAGGTACAGTTTCCTTACACCAAGACCGATTCCATGTGTAGTGTTTCCATTTTCCCATCATTTTTTGATATTTTAATAAGTTAATTGGACACGTCTTAGTTTTTATAAAAACATCTTTTAAGATGACATTTCAAGTAAAATAGATATTACAAATTTTTGGATTTAGTAATTGGGTATCTTGAGTGTTTTATTAAGAGTTCTCTAAAATCTAAAATAATCAAAATCACATAAAATCTTAAAAATTCGTTCATTGCAAAACATATTCTCCGGAAAATTTGACTTGATTTCTTTTTCTGACGACATGATGGGCAAGCCACAGACATGCCAGCCTGGAGCCTGATGCCATGTTATAGACTCCCAGCACTGAGCCTGATAAGTTCTAAATGTAAGCAGATTGCTCAGGCCTGACAGTTTTACCCATTTTATTTGTGTATCAAAGCCTCAGTAAGGAAAATGCATGTTTTAGAAAGCATGAAAGAAAAGGATCATTAATTGCACCAGTATGATTTAGTGTATGCACTGGAAGTGTTCTGGAAAAGAAACATAGGAAGCCGGGTGTGGTAGTGTCACATGCCTTCAGTGTCAGCAGAGGCAGGCAGAGTTCCATGGAGGTGACATAGCGGCCAGCCTGGTCTAAATAGCGAGTTCCAGTCCAGCAGGGGTCACAGGGAGATCCTGTCTCAAAAAAAATCAATAAACAGAAAGAAATGCAGGAACGTTCCTGTCGGAACTGCCATCCTGTTCTCTGCAGAAGCACAAAGCTCTGTTGCCGTCAAAACACCTTTGGTGCCAGAACAGAACACAGCATAACTCCCAACTCAGCGGTCCAGATAGACGGGAGCACCTTCTCCCAAGCCACTGGGACACCTAGAGATTTAGTGTAGAAGACTGCAGACAATTCCCAAGATTCATCTGACTAATAAGAAATGCAGCCTGCCACACAGGATTTCGGTTGTGGATTGTATATACATTTTCTCATGAAAGTGATTTCCCCTTCAGGTGTGTGATTTTTATACTTTTTTTCTCCATAAACCGAGATTCCTTTAATTCATCAAGCAGTTAATTAGTTTATTATGTTTTTCCACAATATTAGATAATATATTTTTTATTTTTACATGTTCCTTTTTTTGTACGTATTTAAAATATTACCTTGTTCTTTTTTTTTTTTTTTTTTTTTTTTTTTTTTTTTTTAGGCAGATCCATTTCTGAAATGGCAAACTCCAGCATCTCCTCCATGTCTCCTCCTCTCTTCTTCCAGCTCTCTGCATGCTCCTACAACATCTGCTGTTCCTAAAGGGTGCTGGGACTACAGGCATGTGCCACCACGCCCGGCTGTTCTTTTTTACTAGATGGAATCTTCAAACATATTAAACAACCAAGATAAATGTTTAACTCTAGTTAACACTAGAGTTAATTATTAAAATTATTTCTTATTCACAAATAATTTTTAAATTTAAAAATAAAATTTTATAAGTGTATTGCCTGCATGTATGTAAGTGTGCCCGTGTCGTGCAGTGCTTGGGGAGGTTAGAAGAAGCTTTTTTACTAGATGGAATCTTCAAACATATTAAACAACCAAGATAAATGTTTAACTCTAGTTAACACTAGAGTTAATTATTAAAATTATTTCTTATTCACAAATAATTTTTAAATTTAAAAATAAAATTTTATAAGTGTATTGCCTGCATGTATGTAAGTGTGCCCGTGTCGTGCAGTGCTTGGGGAGGTTAGAAGAAGGTGTTGGATACCCTTGGAAGTGGAGCTTTGGACAGTTGTTAGCTGCCATGTGGGTGCTGAAAACCAAACCCAGGTCCTCTGCAAGAGCAGCCAGTGCTTTTAACTACTGAGCCATCTCTCTAGCCTCTCCCAAACAATTTTGTACTTAATATACATGTGTAATATAACTAAGCACATCAAATTTGTGCTTAGATTATAAAATATACAGATGTTTAAGACTCGAGAATAAAGTAATGTATAGGATGAGGCATAGTCTTATATGTTAAAATAAACTGGGACTTTGCTACATAGTCTTGAAGTGTCTAAACCTCACTGATTCTGTCCTCAGCTGTAATATGGGCATATAAAGGTTTATTTCATTTGATTTAGGACCAAATGAAATTAGGCCCATGAAGCATACATAGATATAGTTAAAGCAAGTGTTTAACCAGTAATAAGGATACTTAATAATGAGCTATTTATTGGGCAGAAAGGGGACTAGTTAGTAGTAATATAGTATATATTTAAAAATAGCTAAAAGGATGGACTTTAAATGGATATGTTAATTACCTTGATTTTATTCTATAATATATCTGTATTAAAACATCACAGTATACCCTATAAACATATAATTATTGTTTAGCGATTAAAAGTTAAACTTTGAAATGTTTAAACTAAGTGTAGACAGCAGAAACACATCAATTTCTGATTAATCATTTAAACAAAAAGTCTTGTTAGAGTATTTACTTTGTAGTCAATATCCTCAGATATTTGTCTTGTAAAAGAGATTGTCCTTTGGGGCCGGAGAGATGGCTCAGCAGTTAAGAACACTGGCTGTTCTTGCAGAAGACCCAGGTTTGAATCCCAGCACCCACATGGCAGCTAGCAACTGTCCGTAACTCCAGCTCCAGGGGTTCCAACAGCCTCTTCTGTCCTCTGCAGGCATTGCATTACACAGGTGCACTTACCTACATGCAGGCAATACACACGTACACATAAAATAAAAATGATAAAATAAAAAAAAAATATCGAGGTGCATTGGGGCTGGAGAGATGGGCCAGCCACTAAGAGCACTGGCTGCTCTTGCAGAAGACCTAGGTTTGACTTCCAGCACCCACACAGAGGCTAACAACCATCCTGACCTCCGCAGGCATTGCACGACATGGGTGCACTTGCCTACATGCAGGCAATACACGCATACACATATAAAATAAAAATAATAAATAATTTTTTTTTTTTAGAAAGATTGTCCTTTAAGAGACTAGATCTTAATAAGGCATAAAATACTGAAGCTAACTTCGTGAGTGCTCACCCTCTTGGCTGATGCACCCCCTCCTGCCCACGGTGTCTGCGTGCCTTGCTGACACTCCCAGAGGTCTGCCACAATAGGAGCATTTCATACTCCCAGCTTTATGTATTTAAGTTTGTAGCCTGTGTATATAGATTAGATAGGAGTTGCAAATTGACAACTTTGAAAATGCCCTTCAACTCAACAGGCATTGTATATTTGCATATTTATTTAAAGGTTTTCTAGAATATGACAGTAAAGTGTCGTACTCTAATAAAAAGAGCATACCACAAGAGGATCTAAGGAGAGAAGGACCTCCATTTCTAATGGTGGCCTGGGACTGCTCTGTACACTAGCCATTTGGGACTGTAGAGCTTCAACACCTGTGCGTAATTTCAGTTATTTTGGTACCCTAAAAACTTGAATTTGTAAATTATAATATGTATGCTAAATACTTCATTCAGAGTTATAGATACGCTTTACCAAGGCAGTTCTGTTATTTTAAAATGTGTTTCTTCCTTTTTCCTTTACCTCTGAAAAGCATAGCTGTAAAATAGGAAGTGAGTAAGCAAGCTTACTTCTTGGTAAGTCTCACAAGTTCTGTCTCCTGAGATACTGTAAATAAGCTGATGTTGGCTTCTGCAGCTCCTCTCCAACTCCCATCATTATGTGGAGAAAGAGAAGGCAGTCGAGTATAGTTCCTTCTCCCTCAAAGTTAGGGTTGATGGAGCTTAAAAGCCAGAGTTTTGTGTATTATATTGATATTGCACCCCTACCTGCCTCTTTCCTAGTGCTTATATTTAAAAACTTCAAACAATTGAAAGCCATGCATGTCTTGAACATTGTGTTAAGTCCAGCCAATCATGTAAGAAATAAAAACTCAGTTGCTATATATGAGGATGTAATTTTGTCTGTCTTGGGGAAGACTGTCTGTTATAACCCAAAGGCAGAACCCCTTGTGTCACTAAAATTCCTTCTATTGAACTGGAAAGATTGTCATACATTTTTGATGCTGAGCTTATACTCAGTTTGCAGCCCCCGCTGTAAGTGCTTATACCTTTGGAGAAACTTTGGTAAAATTATGCAGTGCATAAGCATCTTCCTGATATTTTATGTATGCCCATGTTTTATATGTGTTCATATGAGATGAAAGAGTGAGAAAGTAATCATCCGCAGTGAGGCTAGTCCAATTTTTTAATGGTCTCCTTCCATATTAATCAATAAGCAAAAGTATGCACACCAATCAATATTCTAAATGACAAACTTTCTGTATCTGGAAACACTTCTGTGAAATTTTGCAGTCATCTAAACACACCTACGACATAACACTTAACATTCACTGATAGGGTCCAGATAATTCTTGTAAACA